TGGATCTCCGGGCTGTCGGGGTGGATCTCCGGGCTGGCGGGGTGGATCTCCGGGCTGTGGGGGTGGATCTCCGGGCTGTCGGGGTGGATCTCCGGGCTGTTGGGGTGGATCTCCGGGCTGTCGGGGTGGATCTCCGGGCTGTTGGGGTGGATCTCCGGGCTGTCGGAGTGGATCTCAGAGCTGTCGGGGTGGATCTCCGGGCTGTCGGGGTGGATCTCCGGGCTGTCGGGGTGGATCTCTGGGCTGTTGGGGTGGATCTCTGGGCTGTTGGGGTGGATCTCTGGGCTGTCGGGGTGGATCTCCGGGCTGTTGGGGTGGATCTCTGGGCTGTCGGGAAAGATCTCCGGGCTGTCGGGGTGGATCTCTGGGCTGTCGGGGTGGATCTCTGGGCTGTCGGGGTGGATCTCCGGGCTGTCGGGGTGGATCTCCGGGCTGTCGGGGTGGATCTCCGGGCTGTCGGGGTGGATCTCCGGGCTGTCGGGGTGGATCTCCGGGCTGTCGGGGTGGATCTCCGGGCTGTTGGGGTGGATCTCCGGGCTGTTGGGGTGGATCTCCGGGCTGTCGGGGTGGATCTCCGGGCTGTCGGGGTGGATCTCCGGGCTGTCGGGGTGGATCTCTGGGCTGTCGGGGTGGATCTCCGGGCTGTCGGGGTGGATCTCCGGGCTGTTGGGGTGGATCTCTGGGCTGTCGGAGTGGATCTCCGGGCTGTCGGGGTGGATCTCCGGGCTGTCGGGGTGGATCTCCGGGCTGTCGGGGTGGATCTCCGGGCTGTTGGGGTGGATCTCCGGGCTGTCGGGGTGGATCTCCGGGCTGTCGGGGTGGATCTCTGGGCTGTCGGACTGGATCTCTGGGCTGTCGGGAAAGATCTCTGGGCTGTCGGAGTGGATCTCTGGGCTGTCGGAGTGGATCTCAGAGCTGTCGGGGTGGATCTCCGGGCTGTTGGGGTGGATCTCCGGGCTGTCGGGGTGGATCTCCGGGCTGTCGGGGTGGATCTCCGGGCTGTTGGGGTGGATCTCCGGGCTGTCGGGGTGGATCTCCGGGCTGTCGGGGTGGATCTCCGGGCTGTCGGGGTGGATTTCTCGAAGTTGTCAACTAGTATAGAAATCTACCTTACGATTTGATGGTGATGTGTCGCGCTTATTGTTATGTGGGCGTGGTTGTGGGCGGTGTGAGTGGGGGTGTGGGTGCGGGTGGTGGGGTGGGTGTGGTTGTGAGCGCTATATGGGCGTGGAAGTGGGCGGTGTGAGGGGGGTGTGGGTGCGGGTGGTGGGTGGGCGTGGTTGTGAGCGCTATGTGGGCGGTGTGAGTGGGGGTGTGGGTGCGGGTGGTGGGGTGGGTGTGGTTGTGAGCGCTATATGGGCGTGGAAGTGGGCGGTGTGAGGGGGGTGCGGGTGCGGGTGGTGGGTGGGCGTGGTTGTGAGCGCTATATGGGCGTAGAAGTGGGCGGTGTGAGGGAGGGGTGTGGGTGCGGGTGGTGGGTGGGCGTGGTTGTGAGAGCTATATGGGCGTAGAAGTGGGCGGTGTGAGGGAGGGGTGTGGGTGCGGGTGGTGGGGTGGGCGTGGTTTGCGGGCGGCCATATTGATCAGGAGGCGTTGTGTAATCCGCCGCGACGCTGTCAAACACCGTCCCCAGCGGCTCCAGTCTACCCCATTCCCAGTCACCCATTCCAACCCCTCCCTCCATCCCCCCACACCCCCATTACCACCCCCCTCACCCCCATCACCACCCCCCTCACCCCCATCACCACCCCTACATCCCCACCTCATGGCTTCTCTCTTCCACAGCCTCTCCCTCACTCACAGCCACACTCTGCTCCACACCCTCGCCTCTGTGGTGCCTGACATGAATTGATGTACAAGAATCCATTCCAGTTCCCTTGACCACTGTTCCTCCACCTGGAACATCACCAGCTGGAACATCAACAGCTGTAACATCAACAGCTGGAACATCAACAGCTGGAACATCACCAGCTGGAACATCAACAGCTGTAACATCAACAGCTGGAACATCAACAGCTGGAACATCAACAGCTGGAACATCAACAGCTGGAACATCAACAGCTGGAACATCAACAGCTGGAACATCAACAGCTGTAACATCAACAGCTGGAACATCAACAGCTGGAACATCAACAGCTGGAACATCAACAGCTGGAACATCAACAGCTGGAACATCAACAGCTGGAACATCAACAGCTGGAACATCAACAGCTGTAACATCAACAGCTGTAACATCAACAGCTGGAACATCAACAGCTGGAACATCAACAGCTGGAACATCAACAGCTGGAACATCAACAGCTGTAACATCAACAGCTGGAACATCAACAGCTGGAACATCAACAGCTGGAACATCAACAGCTGGAACATCAACAGCAGCAACATCAACAGCTCGTTATCTTTAAGTTATCTTTCGGGGCTTAACGGGAATGAGATGATTTCGGGGCTTAGCGTCCCCGCGGCCCGGTCCTCGACCAGGCCTCCTTTTTGTTACACACTCTCACAAAGCAGCCCGTAGCAGCTGTCTAACTACCAGGGACCTATTTATTGCTAGGTGAACAGGTGAAATCAGGGTGAAAGAAACTCTGCCCATTTGTTTCCACCTCCACAGGGGATCGAACACGAAACCTCAGGACTACGAATCCGGAGCGCTGTCCACTCAGCTGTCAGGCCCCCTTTAGGAGTCAGAGAAGCACAGTGCTGGCGTCACAGAAGCACAGTGCTGGCGTCACAGGAACACAGTGCTGGCGTCACAGGAGCACAGTGCTGGCGTCACAGGAACACAGTAACACCATCAGAACAGGGAACACTGTTCACGTCTACACAACAATGACTGGCTTCATGCTGGCCCCTCGTCCCCTCCACACATATGCTCATGCTACCCCCCCTACCCCCCCCAGCCCCATTGGAGCTCGCCTCTCCCCATCTCAATCACCACTATCGCTACTACCATCTGCATAACTACCTCACTTTACTACCGTGAACAACTCTTAGGGGGATGCCGCCTCCCTGGAAGGATGAACCATGTAAACGAAATTATACAAACAATCCAACCTGTTGCAGGAAGAAATGAGACACAAGGATCTCGAGGACGTTAACAGTGATAAGAAACGAATTAGATCAAATCTACACTGATGGATCTGCTAATCTTACTAATGGCAAGGCTGAGGCAGCGTAAATTGTAATTAGGAACTATGACTATTTAACGCAAGTAGAACTCAAGAGATATTTTATGGTATTAAGATACAGAGAATGAAACAGTAAAAGCACTAGTCTCTAAGGTTTGAAAATTACGCTACAAACCTATAGAAAAAAGGGCAGAGCTTCTCAGAGTAGAATTCACAGAAGGCCAGCCAGACGATACTCCATCCCATAGTGTAGTATGGGATGTACTCCATCCCATATTGTAGTATGGGATGCCGGAAATCATCGCACGGTTACCGTGCGATGATTTTCGGCTCAACATCCCCGCGGCCCTGTCCTCGACCAGGCCTTTTGATTGCTGCACCGGTCAACCAGGCTGTTGGACGCGGCTGCTCGCAGCCTGACGTATGAGTCACAGCCTGGTTGATCACGTATCCTTTGGAGGTATTTGTCAAGTTCTCTCTTGAACACTGTGAGAGGTCGGCCAGTTATGCCCCTTATGTGTAGTGGAAGCGTGTTGAACAGTCTCGGGCCGAAGATGTTAATAGAGTTCTCTCTCAGAGTACCTGTTGCACCTCTGCTCTTCCACGGGGGTATTCTGCACATCCTGCCATGCCTCCTGGTCTCATGTGATGTTATTTCTGTGTGCAGGTTTGGGATCAGCCACTCCAATATTTTCCATGTGTAAATTATTATGTATCTCTCCCGCCTGCGCTCAAGAGAATACAGATTTAGGCTCTTTAGTCGGTTCCAATAGTTTAAATGTTTTACTGAGTGGATTCTAGCAGTAAAGGCTCTCTGCACGCTCTCCAGGTCAGCAATTTCTCCAGCTTCGAAAGGGGCTGTCATTGTGCAGCAGTACTCCACCCTAGAGAGCACAAGCGTCTAAAAGAGTATCATCATCGGTACAGCATCTCTAGTGTGAAAGGTTCTTGTTATCCAACCTGTCATTTTTCTTGCAGTTGTGACGGCTACTTTATTGTGTTCTTTAAAGGTAAGGTCTTCCGACATGAGTACACCCAGATCATTTACATTGCTTTATCGTTCTATGTTATGATTTGACTGTGTTTTGTACGTGGTTTCCGTTTTTATATTTATTTTTTTGCGTAGTGCAAGAGCTGGAACTTATCTTCATTAAATACCATATTATTTTCTGTAAGCCATTGAAAGCCCTGGACCCTCCCTCCCTCCACCAGCACGGCTGCATCTCTCCCTCCACCACCATCGACGAACTCCCCCCCCTCCCCCCTCCCCACACTTACTATCACGCTCCTCCAGAACAATGAATCAGCGCCCCTCCTGGACATTTAAACCAGTTTATGTCGAGAATGAATGAAGGGGAGAGAGAGGGAGAGAGAGAGAGAGGGAGAGAGGGGTGATAGAGGGTAGATACAGAGAGAGGGGAGAGAGAGGGAGCTCCCTCCGCCATCTCTCCACCCAAAGTAACTACCCTGAAGCCTGTATAACATTTGCAACTCATGTAGAGCTGCAAATGCGGGGGAGCCGAGGTTGTGGGTGGAGAGGATGCGCGCGGTTATACCTATGGAGGATCTCCAGAGTTTCTCTACAACCTCAGTGTTTATATTTGTATATAGATCTTGACAGTTTTGTTCCACAAGTCCGTTTGGGATATGACTTCTTGTGAGAACTTAATCGGTCAGGTTGTTGCTTGCTGCGGCCTGCCTGCCTAGAAATGCATGAAATACCTGGAGCATACCTGGAGAGGGTCTCGAGAGTCCTTCTACTCCCCAAGCCCGGCCTGAGGTCTGGCAATATGTTGTAATGAGGACCAGTCACCACTAACAAGCTAAAAACACCTGTGACGTTGCCTGTGCAGGACAGGATGTGGTCCAGTGATGGAAGGTCGTGCCATGGGAGGCCGTGCCATGGGAGGTCGTGCCATGGGAGGTCGTGCCATGGGAGGCCGTGCCATGGGAGGCCGTGCCATGGGAGGCCGTGCCATGGGAGGCCGTGCCATGGGAGGTCGTGCCATGGGAGGCCGTGCCATGGGAGGTTGTGCCATGGGAGGTCGTGCCATGGGAGGCCGTGCCATGGGAGGTCGTGCCATGGGAGGCCGTGCCATGGGAGGTCGTGCCATGGGAGGTCGTGCCATGGGAGGTCGTGCCATGGGAGGTCGTGCCATGGGAGGCCGTGCCATGGGAGGGAGCACGCCCAGAGACCACTTGAGGGTAACGATGCCTCGCCTCACTGGTTAGTCACCGCTCGCTTACTCCTTAAATCACTGCTCGCTCACTCTTGTTGACACTTAGGATATACTCAGGTGGCACTTAGTGGCACTCGTCTGTAAAGTCTGGTTAGTGGATCATAAAATGTGTAGTAAATGTAAATTTAGCGGAGTTTACCTCGAGTTTGCCTCGTACTGATTCCCAGGATCCCAGGATTAACGTCCCCGCGGCCTGGTCTCTGACCAGGCCGCTCGCTGCTGGGAATCTGACGTACCTTACATTGAGGTTACCTTGAGGTGCTTCCGGGGCTTAGTGTCCCCGCGGCCCGGTAGTCGACCAGGCCTCCTGGTTGCTGGACTGATCAACCAGGCTGTTAGACGCGGCTGCTCGCAGCCTGACGTATGAGTCACAGCCTGGTTGATCAGGTATCCTTTGGAGGTACTTATCCAGTTCTCTCTTGAACACTGTGAGGGGTCGGTCAGTTATGCCCCTTATGTGTAGTGGAAGCGTATTGAACAGTCTCGGGCCTCTGATGTTGATAGAGTTCTCTCTCAGAGTACCTGTTGCACCTCTGCTTTTCAACGGGGGTATTCTGCACATCCTGCCATGCCTCCTTCTCTCATGTGATGTTATTTCTGTGTGCAGGTTTGGGACCAGCCCCTCAATTATTTTCCACGTGTAAATTATTATGTATCTCTCCCGCCTGCGCTCAAGGGAGTACAGATTTAGGCTCTTTAGTCGGTCCCAGTAATTTAGATGTTTTACTGAGTGGATTCTAGCAGTAAAGGCTCTCTGCACGCTCTCCAGGTCAGCAATTTCTCCAGCTTTGAAAGGGGCTGTCATTGTGCAGCAGTACTCCACTCTAGAGAGCACAAGCGTCTTGAAGAGTATCATCAATGGTACAGCATCTCTAGTGTGAAAGGTTCTTGTTATCCAACCTGTCATTTTTCTTGCAGTTGTGACGGCTACTTTATTGTGTTCTTTAAAGGTAAGGTCTTCCGACATGAGTACACCCAGATCCTTTACATTGCCTTTTCGTTCTATGTTATGATTTGCCTGAGTTTTGTACGTGATTTCTGTAGGAGCCACAGCCAGGTTGATCAGGTGATCTAGCAGTGAACGAGGTCACTGAAGCCGTAAGAACGAGGTCACTGACACTGTAATAACGAGGTCACTGACGCCGTAAGAACGAGGTCACTGACGCTGTAATAACGAGGTCACTGAAGCTGTAAGAACAAGGTCACTGACGCTGTAATAACGAGGTCACTGAAGCCGTAAGAACGAGGTCATTGACGCTGTAATAACAAGGTCACTGAAGCCGTAAAAACGAGGTCATTGACGCTGTAATAACGAGGTCACTGAAGCCGTAAGAACGAGGTCACTGAAGCCGTAAGAACGAGGTCACTGAAGCCGTAAGAACGAGGTCACTGAAGCCGTAAGAACGAGGTCACTGAAGCCATAAGAACGAGGTCAATGATGTCGTAAGAACGAGGTCACTGAAGCCGTAAGAACGAGGTTACTGAAGCCATAAGAACGAGGTCAATGATGTCGTAAGAACGAGGTGACTAGCGTCGTATAAATACTAATACTAACTATAGTACACACCATAAATGAAACTAAGACGACAAGGTGACAGTAGATTAAAACATAATAATATAAACACGACTGAGTACCGCCGTTCCTTACAGGGGTTAGTGTGTTACCCTGAACACTAAGTCACCGCCGAGGTCAACAGTAACGTCACTTAATGAGACAATCAATAACGAGCCACTTAATGCAACAAAGTCAAGGTCAATACAAGTCACCCAGCAGGCGAGAATGACAACCATCCAGAGAAACTGAGGTCACACCAATCAAGTCATTATATCGTTATCAGGTTGTTGATAATAGCACTGATAACATAATGCAGCCAGTCACCTAATAATATCTGCAAGGTCGTGGGACAATGGGGGGGGGTCAGTAGATAGTGCCTAGCTAAGTGAAGAAATGTGCCAAGAGCATGTTTGGTAACCACAAACTGGTACAGTTTGTGGTTACCAAACAAACTGGTACAGAAGAATGTGTATGTGAACAGAACAATGTGTACAGTATACAATGTGTACATGGTGTACAGAACAATGTGACTGGTACAGAACTGGTACAAAAAGGTACCACAAACTGGTACAGTTTGTAGTTAGTCTGGTTGTTCTGTACTGGTAGAGAACTGGTCTGGTTGACCAGACGACCAACCAGGAGGTTTGGTCGGAGACCGGGCCGGGGGGCCATTCTAGCCGTAAAGGACCAATTGTACTAACGTCCCAAATAATAAAAGAATTTGAGAGTGGTCAGGAGTCAGGTCACCAGTTTCATGGAGACCAGTGACACGGACTTCACAAAGGCATTCGATAAATGTGACCATGGAGTGATAGCACACAAAATGAGGTCAATGGGAATAAATGGTAAAGTAGGACGCTGGATACTCAGTTTTCTGTCGAACAGGACACAAAGAGAAACAGTCAACCATATAAAATCGAGTCCAAGCGCAGCTAAAAGCTCAGGGTACAGGACCACTGCTTTTCCTAATTCTCATATCAGATATAGACTCAAATACAAGTCACAGCTTCGTGTCATCCTTTGCAGATGACACAAAAATCAGCATGAAAATTACCTCTGCTGAAGACATTGAAAAACTACAAGCAGATATTCATAAAGTTGTCGATTGGGCAGCAGAAAATAACATGATGTTTAACAGTGATAAATTCCAGGTACTCAGGTACGGTAAAAATGAGAACCATAAACTATAATACAGGGTACAAAACACAATCAAATCTGCCCATAGTAGGAAAACAGCATGTCAAGGATTTGGTAATAATGATGTCTGACGACCTAACGTTTAGGGAGCATAACCAAGCAAATATTGCGTCAGCCAGAAAAATGATAGGATGGATTACGAGAACTTTCAAATCCAGGGATCCCATCACAATGGTTGTACTCTTCAAGTCACTTGTGTTGTCCCGTCTTGAGTACTGCTCAGTACACACTTCCCCCTTCAGAGCAGGAGAGATTGCTGAAATAGAGGGAATACAGCATATACAGCATAGAACATATTCGGCATACATACATAACGCGATAAAGCACCTAAATTATTGGGATCATCTCAAAGCTCTCCAAATGTACTCACTAGAAAGGAGACGAGAGAGAGATACCAAATAATACACACATGGAAAATACTGGATACCTAGTTGATACCTGGTTGATGGGGTTCTAGGAGTTTTTCTACTCCCCAAGACCGGCCCAAGGCCAGGCTTGACTTTTGAGAGTTTGGTCCACCAGGCTGTTGCTTGGAGCGACCCGCAGGCCCACATACCCACCACAGCCCGGTTGGTCCGGCTTAGCTCAAGCACTTTGAAAATCGTGGATTGAAGGCCTGCCCCGTAAGAAGCCTAGCCTAAGAGCAGCAGGAAATGGCATGAACGATACGAGCAGGTGGTAAAACTAATTATATACACAACTCTTAAAGTACATGTGATAGGAGAAATTATCGTCAGTAATGAACTGATAAGAAACATAGTGATTACACGCAGATCACATGTTACTGAGATCGTAACCTAATCTCATACAAACATGGACGGTAGACCTGCGCAGCTCATCTCAAATTCAGCAAATTTAATATCAATAATACATTTCTTAACTGGAAACAAATGAACCACGACCTCAAACAAATACGCTGGGAAGAACAGCAGAATGATGCCAAACTTAGTCAGTGCCTGGAGAGAGAGCAGACACAGTGCCACTAGGCATAAATCATACCTTACGGTTACCTTGCGTTGATTTCGGGGGTCAAGGTCCCCGCGGCCCGGTCTCTGATCAGACCTCCTGGTTGGTCTGGACAAACAAGCTGTTGGACGCGGCTGCTCTTAGCCTGACGTATGAACCACAACCTGGTTGTGATCAGGTATCCTTTGGAGGTGTTTATACCAACAAGGAAAATAGAGATAGACAGAGGAAAAGTGGAAGGAAAGCGGAACCTTATGGGTGAAGAAATAGATTCACTCATTATATTCTTGTAATACAAATCTTGCTCGACAGCTTCGCTCTTTCTGATGAGGTATTGTAAATAAATCCTCATTAGTGGATTTCCAAATATTGTGAGTGTTGCAGTATCCTTTTCTTCTGTCTGAACCAGTAACTTGTCCTTCCTTAGCTGTACTGGTGTGACAGTCTTCTGTAAGACAGATGCTCTGATTCACCGCTAAACATCTCCAGCAACACTTTCTTACTTTCTTCTTGGACAATTGTACCACTTGTTCAGTCTTAAATCTTTCTTATTGTTTATTAGTTTAATTGTGACTATGCACTGCGCGCGCACGTACTCACCTATTTGTGCTTGCGGGGATTGAGCTCTGGCTCTTTGGTCCCGCCTCTCAACTGTCAATCAACTGGTGTACAGGTTTCTGAGCCTACTGGGCTCTATCATACCTACATTTGAAACTGTGTATGGAGTCAGCCTCCACCACATCACTGCCTAATGCATTCCATCCGTTAACTACCCTGACACTGAAAAAGCTCTTTCTAACGTCTCTGTGGCTCATTTGGGTACTCAGTTTCCACCTGTGTCCCTTTGTTCGCGTCCCACCAGTGTTGAATAGTTTAGTTGTGTGTGTGTGTGTGTGTGTGTGTGTGTGTGTGTGTGTGTGTGTGTGTGTGTGTGTGTGTGTGTGTGTGTGTGTGTGTGTGTGTGTGTGTGTGAGAAAAAAAATTAGTTAGTAGTTAGTAATAGTTGATTGATTGAGAGTTGAGAGGCGGGCCGAAAGAGCAGAGCTCAACCCCCGCAAGCACAACTAGGTAAATACACATATGGAGCTGCATATTCCAGGATTGTCAGCCCAATCCTGGCATATGTAGCTCCAGCCAGGAATCCATACCTAGTTAAACACAAGACAAGGTTAGAGAAGATTCAGAGGTATGCCACCAGACTAGTCCCGGAACTGAGAGATATGAGCTATGAGGAAAGGCTGATCCTCACGTCCCTGGAAAACAGAAGAGTAAGG